GTCCTGGCTGAAACTGACCTGAAACTGGCCTCTGGCAGCAGTTGTATCCACCTACAGGGCAGTCTTTCTCTTTTCCTACTGCCTTCCAATTTACTGAGGATTGTCTTCTTTTCCACAGTGACCTTATCTCATACATTCAAACCATGAGAGCCTCAATTCAGTCATCTTGGCTTCCAGTGAGAGTTGGGGACTGATTTACTCTAGGACTCATTCATTCATTTTGAGGGATAGCCTGCGGGATAGAACTCTCTTCCACCACCACATTTCAAATTAGGGCCTTTGCAGACAGGCAGCCATGGGCAGCCCTGAGAAGCACAGGATTGGGGCCAAGGCTGCCCCATGCCTCAGCCCCAATCCACCCTTCTGCCAGTGCTCCTTCCAGAGTGGGCAGAAGGGGTGCCAGAAGAGTCATCATGTGGCTCTTCTGCGGCTCTTCTGGCTCAGCCTGTGCAGAGGCTGGGCCGGGAGGACGTCATCGGAGCGCTCGCCATGTGCAACAGTGGGTGCTCCAATGACGTCCTCAGGAAGAGGTTGGGGCGTCCAGCATCTGGCTGCCCCTCTCCTTCTGTGGCTCCAAGACAGGGCTTTGCACCATCTGCAGAGCCCCTTAGTTAATCTCAAATTAGTTCAGTTTGCAAATATGCCTCCAACTAAATTAAACTCTGCCCAATCTAAATAATTGTGACTTGCTTTAATATTCATGCTCCTACATTGGCAGGACTTCACTGAACTAACTGCAGGTGCACCCCCATAGATGGATGTTGAGAAATCTCTTTCTCCATCAGGATTAGTCACTTGCTCCTATCTTATGTATGCCCATTGATTTTCCAGAAAAAATATTTATCTTGTAGATTTTGTCCTGTTGTTAACATCACTGTGGCTTCACACTATGTGTTCTCTTTAATTTATTTCCATTTTATACACTTGCATGAGGATTCTTAATGTTGCTCTGCATCTCGTCACTAGATATAAAAGTGTTATCTCTTGAAAGGCCATGTCTCTTAAGATTAATGTATTGTGCTGAAAACAAATACCACTTACCAATTATAATGTGAGAGCAACTACCAGCACCAACACCATGGAGCTACATTCAAGGGGGGAAGAAGTGCCGGTTTTAATTCCTCACTACTGAAGATCACTTGCAAAGTGACTGTTGGCATTGGTCACAAATCACATTCTATCAGCTGAAGCAAAAGAAAATGGAAGAGACCTTGGAATCTCATATAATTCCACCCCACAAACTTGTTTTTTGTTTGACATTTGCAGGTTGCTTCAAATGGATAGCTATTCTATGCTAGGTTTTTACTGCATTGGTAAATTCCTTGGTAATAATATGGGAGGTGGAAAGAGTGGAAGATATGTTGACAGTTAGTGGAGAAAGGCATCTTGTCTATTCAATGACACCAAATATTTTGTATTGTTCAGGAA